ACCAGTTTGTTGAGAGGCCTGAATCACCTCTCTTATATCGCTTAATTTTTGATAAATGACGTGTTTTCTGTATTACCCTCCCTGCTCCTGCCTTCTTTGATTCACAGACAAAAGGAAGATATGTTATTACCAGAGAGGAGGTAGAAGAGTACGAGAGGAGAGCGGAGGCAGCTCGACTCCATGCTGCAGCACAGCAGGCGATAACCGCTGCACATCAATATGATCCCAACTATTCCTCCTCATCACAGTACGACCCCAACAACTATTATTATGGATATCCGCCAGGCCAGCCGTGGCCATAGACCAACTTAGGCCAAAAGGCTAAGCTTGGGGGAGTACGTATTTCCCACCGACATTACATTTATTATCTGACAAAAGAGCCCATATTGCCTTGTCTTCTCCTGTTTATTGAATGCTCGCAGATTCCAGCTTAGTCCAATGCACGTGCACTCTTATTATTATTCACACCGTTCGGTCGTGCAAGTGAAAGGCAATTATGATGATATATGATGGACTGACTGGGATGAGAAAAACTGGTATGAACTCGACCTCTTTTGTTTCTGTAAATATGATGAGTCCCTCGTTCTTGATTCAGCTTATTATGAATAAACATGTTTGCAATGACAATTAGAGATCATAGTTGCTTGTGCCATGCTTGATTAGCTATGAGTTATAATAATTTACCTTGTATGCCAACATGCTATTGAGATGATTATGATGTGGTATGATGGGGTGGTATCCTCTTTTGAATGATTTAAGTGACTTGACTTGGCACATGTTCATGCATGTAGTTGAAACAAAATCAACATAGCCTTCACGATATTTATGTTCATGGTAGATTATATCCTACTCATGCTTGCATCCAATATTTATTAATTTTAATGCATGTACATGGTTGTTGTCGCTCTCTAGTTGGTCGCTTCCCAGTCTTTTGCTAGCCTTCACCTGTACTAAGCAGGAATACTGCTTGTGCATCCAATCTCTTAAACCCTAAAGTTATTTCAGATGAGTCCACTATACCTTCCTATATGTGGTATCTACCTGCCGTTCCAAGTAAATTTGTATGTGCCAAACTCTAAACCTTCAAATAAACATTCTGTTTTGTATGCTCGAATAGCTCATGTATCAACAAAGGTTGTCCTTATCTTCCGTGTTAGGCGGGTTATTCTCAAGAGGAGTGGACTCCGCTCCTCACTCACGAGAAAATGGCTGGTCACCGGGATGCCCAGTCCCATGCTTTATGCAAACTAAATCAAAATTAATTGCAAACAAAACTCCCCCTAGGACCTGATGTATGTTGGAGGCACTCGTTGTTTCGAGCAAGCCATGGATTGATGCTTGTTGGTGGAGGGGGAGTATAAACTTTACCATTCTGTTTGGGAACCGCCTATAATGTGTTTATCATGGAAGATATCGCCATCTCTTAATTGTTATGTTGACAATGAAAATATACCGCTCAAAATACAATTTATCTCTATTTCAAAACCGAGCTCTGGCACCTCTACAAATCCCTGCTTCCCTCTGCGAAGGGCCTACCCATTTACTTTTATGTTGAGTCATCACCCTCTTATTAAAAAGCACTAGCTGGAGAGCACAGCTGTCATTTGCATTCATCACTGTTAATTTATATTGAGTATGGCTATGATTGGATCTCTTTTACCATGAATTACAATATCTAGTCAGTCCTTGATCTTTAAAGGTGCTCTGCATTTATGTTTTGCGGTCTCAGAAAGGGCTAGCGAGATACCATCTTATTATATCATATTATGATTGTTTTGAGAAAGTGTTGTCATCCGAGATTTATTATTATGACTTGCCAGTTGATTATGCTATAGATATGAGTAATTATGAGACCTGAGAATTATTGCAAATGTGGTTAGTTATGATCTATGCTGAAACTTGAATGCTGGCTTGACATAGTTACAACAATAAGAGCAAACAGAGTTTGTAAAAGTTTTTCTTTCTTTCTTTTAGTTTGTCAACTGAATTGCTTGAGGAAAAGCAAGGGTTTAAGCTTGGGGGAGTTGATACGTCTCCGTCGTATCTACTTTTCCAAACACTTTTGCCCTTGTTTTGAACTCTAACTTGTATGATTTGAATGGAACTAACCCGGACTGACGCTATTTTCAGCAGAATTGCCATGGTGTTATTTTATGTGCAGAAAACAAATATTCTCGGAATGACCTGAAACTTCACGGGACATCTTAGAAAAAATAATAAAAAATCCTCACCAAAGATGAAGATCAGGGGGCCCACACCCTTCTCACGAGGGGGGTGGGCCCCCTGGATGCCCTCCGACGCCAACTCCAACTCTATTTATTTGCTTTCGGAGAGAAAAAAATCAGAGAGAAGAAATCATCGCGTTTTACGATACGGAGCCGCCGCCAAGTCCTAAAACCTCTCGGGAGGGCTGATCTGGAGTCCGTTCGGGGCTCCGGAGAGGGGGATTCGTCGTCGCCGTCGTCATCATCAACCATCCTCCATCACCAATTTCATGATGCTCATCGCCGTGCGTGAGTAATTGCATCGTAGGCTTGCTGGACGGTGATGGGTTGGATGAGATTTATCATGTAATCGAGTTAGTTTTGTTAGGATTTGATCCCTAGTATCCACTATGTTCTGAGATTGATATTGCTATGACTTTGCTATGCTTAATGCTTGTCACTAGGGCCCGAGTGCCATGATTTCAGATCTGAACCTATTATGTTTTCATGAATATATGTGAGTTCTTGATCCTATCTTGCAAGTCTATAGTCACCTACTATGTGTTATGATCCGACAACCCCGAAGTGACAATAATCGGGACCACTCCCGGTGATGACCATAGTTTGAGGAGTTCATGTATTCACTATGTGCTAATGCTTTGTTCCGATTCTCTATTCAAAGGAGGCCTTAATATCCGTTAGTTTTCAATAGGACCCCGCTGCCACGGGAGGGTAGGACAAAAGATGTCATGCAAATTCTTTTCCATAAGCACGTATTACTGTATACGGAATACATGCCTACATTACATTGATGAATTGGAGCTAGTTCTGTGTCACCCTATGTTATGACTGTTACATGATGAACCGCATCCGGCATAATTATCCATCGCTGATCCGGTGCCTACGAGTTTTCCGTATACTGGTTCTCGCTTATTTATTTTCCCGCTGCTACTGTTATAATCACTACAAAATACCAAAAACATTACTTTTGTTGTCTTTACTTTTGTTGCCGCTACCACCACTATCATATTACTTTGCTACTAAACACTTTGCTGCAGATACTAAGTTTCCAGGTGTGGTTGAATTGACAACTCAGCTGCTAATACTTGAGAATATTCTTTGGCTCCCCTTGTGTCGAATCAATAAATTTGGGTTGAATACTCTACCCTCGAAAGCTGTTGCGATTCCCTATACTTGTGCGTCATCAGCACGTGGTGGGAAGTTTAGTCCCACCTTGCTAGTTGAGGAGAGTTGAGACCCCTTTATAAGGGCTGCTCTACCACTTGCCATTGGGAGCTTGGAAAAAGGAGTGGTACACGCGCGCTCCTCCTCCGCCGTCCGCCTCGCCTCGTCACGACCGGCACGCCCGCGTCGCGGTTTGCGGGAATGAGCCGAGCCGAAGCTTATTTTTGCCGCTCAGGAATGGTTAATTAATTGTTAATTAATTAACGAGTCGTTTACGGAAGCGCCACTGTCCGAGACGTTGGATCATGGGCTGTTCACAGACTCGGTCGTGGGCCTGGCCCAGGCCCATCTACCTGACGGCCTATATGTTTAGTTCACTCACTCCCTCTCGCACAACCCTAGCCGTCAGCTACTGTTCCTCTCTCTGTGCTGCTTTCGGCGATCCCATCCCGACGACCGCGTGCACGGTTGGTCGGGAGAGCAGGTGCCTCCGGAACCCTGTCGTTCGAGATCCTGCCCGGGAGAATGGCAATAAAGTTTTTAGGGAGCGTCTCGACGCGACTGCTCCCGATCCGTCCCCAACTTCGTCCGCCTTTGCTTCCACTACTTCCCCTGCATCGACACCATGGTCAACGACGTCGCCTCCAAGAAGAAGGCCACGGACGACGCCGAGGCTGCTGCCGCCGCCGCCGCGTTAGCCTGTGCAACCGGAGGGTATGATCTGTTCATCCCTCGTTTACTCGTACTTATGCTAGCCGTATATGTGTTTTGCTCATAGATGGTTCGATTCTATGTTCTGTACGTGCTAGTATGCTTAGGTATCGCTATGAGATGTATACTTTTTATGCCATGCTTACTGTTTACTCGTGGATAAGTCTAATCAGAAAAGTGCTAATATTTCCAACATCTGTAGCATGGTAGTATCACGCAATGGGATCCAACTCATCTGATTCTGATGGGTGCTTCGGGAATGATCATTATCACTGTCACGCCTTAGTTAAATCATTCTCGCATCGCATATGAGTTTTCAGCCAGACCAGAAGTTAGCCACGAAGGCCATGGGAATTTGGCTTTGCCATTAGGAGAAGGGCAGGTGGCCTGCAGCTCAGGGCAGATCTCTGAAGAAGTTGACTTGCCCTTGCTAGTCAGGCACACCATACGCAAAGTAACGGCCTCGATCGAATATTTCAGATGAATTTAAGTTTGGAAGAACAGTTAGATAATACTCCCTCCGCTCCCCTAATATAAGAGCGTTTTTAACACTACGCTAGTGTCAAAAATGTTTTTATATTATGAGACGGAGGGTGTAGCTTTTTTCAGGGACAAGAACAGGTATGAGATTAGTTTGGCCCCATGATATGCAATCGATGAAAACATTGAGAGAAAAGTCATGCCAAATGATACGGAAGAAAGCCAAGGAAGGCCAGCTGCTAATTAACCTACTAATTAAGTCTCGAAATGTTTTGAATAATATACAGCCATACAAGCCAGCAAATGTTTTAAACTCTGTACAGTTACATCCCTGGATTCAATCAATAATACAGATCGATGTTGATCAAACACAGGATATTGATGGTTGTTGAAGAAGACGACGACCATGTAGATGTAGTCTTAGGAGGAGGAGAAGGAGAAGAAGGATCGCTTGGTGGGCAGCCTGCCGACGGCCTTCATGAAGTTGGCGAGGTCCATGACCCTGGCCGTCTTGGTCCCGCGCGCCGCCTCCGCCGACGCCCGCTTCTCCTCCGCCTTCCGCCGCGCCCGCGCCACCTCGTTCTGCGCCTTCTCCGTCGCCTTGGCGCGCTCCTCCTCCAGCTTCCTCTGCAACCCCAAACCAACTTCTTGATCTTACTGGCTCGCATGGTGAGCAGCTGCAGGGATCGATCGAACGAGAACGACAAGGAATCGAGCATGGGAATCAATTAGGAGTACCTCGATCTTGCTGAGGTAGGCGGTGGCCGTGTGGATCTGCTGGTTCTCCCACCCGTTGATCACCACCTCCTCCCGCTTAAACTTGTTGTTGATCTTGGCCACCTCCTCCGCCTGCCACGCCGCCACCTTCGCCTCCGCCTCCTCCTTCTTCACCTGCCGCACCTCCACCACCTCCTGCGCTCTCTCCGGCGCCGCGCACGAGGACGACGACTGCGCCGGCGCCGGTGGCAGCGCACGGCCGGTGTCCGCCACGATGGCCAGCGGGTTCGTCTCCGTCTCCGGCACGGGCTCGTGCTCACCGATCCGCGCCAGCTGCAGGTCGTTGTTCCCGGCGCCGGAGTCCCGGCCGAGGCAAGGGTCGGCCGAAGCGCCCCCCGCGTCCACCATGGCCGTGAACTCGCGGCCCATGCTGCTGGACATGAACTGCTCCTCGGAGTAGGACGACAGCGAGCGCTGGCTCGCCACGTCCCAGGAGGGCTGCCGCAGCGGCGCCGGCGCCGGCGACGGGTGGATGTCCCGGAAGGTCGCACCGTCGCCGTCGGCGTCCACGTCCACGTCCACGTCGTCCTCCGCCGGGGCCGACGGCGTCGCCAGCCGCGCCAGCCGCGCCAGCCGCTCATTGACCGACATGTGGTCGATCGGATCGGAGCTGCTCATCGGTGGAGTGGCGGACCCAGTTCTTGGAGGCGGAGTTGGTGAGTGTAGCGTAGCCAAGCACAAAAGGCTAGCAGCAGTGGGAGGGAGGGAAAAATGGAGGGGCGCGGCTCGTGGACGGCCGGCATACGGGATGACACGTATCACTCAAATTGCGGGCTCTGTAATCGCGTGCAGTGTATCCGCTCCTAATTTTGTGCGCCGCTGATTAATAACGGCGTCTCGGACACCATATCCCGCGCATCGGTGGGCATCGGTGTCCACGGACACTCGTCCAAATCTAGACAAACTTGATGCAAATGACATTTAACCAAATGAAACAAAGTTGCAAGCAAACTGGACGATTTTCATTCAAACTTATACATCTTTTTACGTAAAACCGGATGATAAGGCTTTCGATCTGGTTTTCCTTGGATCACAGTTTTCCATTTTGTTTCCCTTATAAACTGGCTCATTTTCTGTG